TATTATTATTATCATTATTATTATCATTATCATTATTATTATTATCATTATTATTATTATTATCATTATTATTATTACTATCATTATTATTATTATTATCATTATTATTATTATTATTATTATTATTATTATTATTATTGTTGTTGTTGTTGTTGTTGTTGTTGTTATTATTGTTATTGTTATTATTATTATTGTTATTATTATTATCATTATTATTATTATTATCATTATTATTATTACTATCATTATTATTATTATTATCATTATTATTATCATTATTATTATTATTATTATTATTATTATTGTTGTTGTTGTTGTTGTTGTTGTTGTTATTATTGTTATTGTTATTATTATTATTGTTATTATTATTATCATTATTATTATTATTATTATTATTGTTATTGTTATTGTTATTATTATTATTGTTATTATTATTATTATTATTTGTTTATAATTAATTTTTAAAATTTTAATGTTTTTATTTTTGTTTTTTCCAAATATAGAACAAAACTTTAAATATATGATGTGTTTTAGTTTTAATTCTAATAAAATATTCTTAAACAAAATTATATTCACAACAAAAAATAATAAAAAATTTAATAATAAATAAGACTTACTTAACTTACTTAAAATATTTTTGTTAAAAAAATAAATTCTATATATAATTCATTATTCTCCAAATAGAAAATTTAAAAATTTTCATTAAAATCAAAATTTTTTTAGATTAAATGAATTTTTTGTGAGATTATGTATGAAAATTTCATAACTAACAGAAATTTGAACACAATCTATAAAAGATTGTTTATTTTCATATAGCAATTGATACAAAAACATAATTTATATATTAATAAAATATAAATTTTCTTTTATTTTTTAAATAAATGTCATTTTTATAAAAATTGTCCCTTTTATTTATTGCAGCGATGATAATATCGAGTCAACAACACGACGTGCAAGCAATCATGAAATCACAGTTCGAGGTTCGAATGATATTAACTATTCGCAATTTGCAAAAAACTGACGTAGGTAATTATAAGTGTGTGGCCAAAAATTCTCTTGGTGATGTTGAGAGCAGTATTCGATTGTATGGTGAGTATTTATGAACTTATTTTCAATCAACTCTAAATAGATAATAATTTATAACACGATAAAATAAATTTATTCGCAATATTTATAATTAATTCTGACATTTTTCATTATAAAATTAATTTTTAATTTTAAAAATTTTTATTATCTTGTCTCTCTCTTCTTATTTCTTTTACTTTCATTTTTATTAATTAATAATGGTACAAATAATGATAAGTAATATTATTTTCCAAATTTTAATATAAAAGTAAAATTTTTTCTTTTAATTTTATATAATTATTATTAATTTTATACAATTATTAATTAATTTGCGAAATCAATGCGTGAAATAATGTATAAAAATGAATCTTTTTTTGATGTTACAATATTTATTGTAGATTGCTTACTGCATGATTCTATATTCCCAACGATAATTTTATATTCAATAGGTTCATCAAATATAAATGTATATGTAGAAGAGTAAGTAAAATATATAATATAAAAGCCATCTTAAATAGAAATAAAATTAGATTTTTAATTAAAAAAATAAAGATTAAAAAATTAAAATATAAATAGTATATAAATTCTATTAAATTTTATGATAAATTCTATATTATACAATTATTTTAAAATTATACATGACAACAAACACTATTCTCTAAAGATTTGAATTAATATTTATATTAATATTTGACAATCTTTAATACTTATAATAGATTTTGATTGCTTTAGAGAATGCACTTTATAATTTATATTGTATATCGAATATTATCATTATCGAATAATAAAGTTATTAACAAAATTATAAAAACTTGTTACTATTGCTAATATATAATATTGCTCTATGCTCTATAATTATATAGAATAATAAAATATATTATTCAATTTATTAAAATAAAAACCCTCTTAATATTATTTGCATTTTAATTTTTATATGCAAAAAAAAAATAATTATTTTTTTTAATTAATGAAAAAAGAATTATAAATAATTATATAATTACATATAAGAAATAGTAATTATATAAGAAAATGATATTAAGATTTTTATAAAAAAAAAATCAAATTTCATCGTCTTGATTTTTTGAAGTTATCTCATATTATCTCATAAAATAAATTATGATTATTATATATTAATTATTAATAATTATTTTTATTATTTTATTATTATAAAAAATAATAAAATGATCACATTAAAATGATTTGCTCTATATATTTCAAAAAAAAAAAAAGAAAAAGTTAAATTGTCTATTATTTCAAAAATCTGATTGCTAATAACTAAAGAAATAAAGATGGACAGACATAATTGGAATAATCCATTCTGTATTTCAAATAGAAAAATAAAATTCTATTATGTAAGACGAGGTAATTTAGTTATTTTTTCTCATTTTAATAATAAAACTAAAATGATTCACTGTATGTATTTTTAAAAGAAAAGAATATCATCTCAAAATAAATTTTAATTATTTCAATTATTACTATATTGCGAGTGTTTATATATTTACAAAAATTTCCAAAACATGCATAATGTACAAAGAAGAATATTCATTCATTTATAAAATCAAAATCTTTTTTTAGATGCTATTCATTTAATTGTAATGATGAAGATAATCATAATCTGCTATAACAATTAAAATATTTCAAGGTGATTCATTTTGTATTCTAAAAAAAAAAAAAAAATTCCGCGGAATAACAAACCGACAATTAATAATACTAAGATCAGTGGTCAGTCCAGCGAATAAGATTTAACAATTGGCGACATTCGAAAGTCCTGACGATAACGAGGGCAGTTGATTCGTTGAGAGCTTACTTAGGTTGATAGCTATTGCACAGGAAATTCGTCTCCGTTCTCTGTTATTTCACGGGTGATACGCAGCTAGGTTGGATGGGTTAACGAGTCTTTGCGGAAGATCCGAGTGGAAATTGTTAGCTGTCGGTGCATCTTGGATGAAAGACTGATCGTAATAGAAATAAAAGAAGCTCGTCTCGAACACGCTTTACAAGCATCCTCACTTTTCTACGGAATCCTCCGGAGGATTTTCTTCTCAATGTCTGCCTCCTTTCGGTCAATCCTCATCTTTGCGCATACGATTTTTCCAATCGGGTCAGAGCACTCGAGGGAACACATGGAGTCAATGCACTCGGCTTGAAGGGTCCATGTCCTTCATAAACGTCACATGGATTCTTTTGTATCTTAAGAATCAATTGTAATATAGGAATTTATTTAGAACAGCATAGATTCTTGTTTAAGCGCGAAAACATCGATGATAAGTGGAAATGGGATCAAATTGAATATATGTAGTCTAAATATTTTGTTGAAATGTTTTTATACAATTTTTATACAATAATAGTTATATAAAAATTATTTTGAATTATATACTAAAAAATTTTTTATTTATATAATTCTTTTATATTATAGTATATTTTTTTAATATCCTTTTATATTTATATTATATTTCTGATTATTTATCATACACATATGTATATTTATAATAGATAGAAAATATAACTTGTTTTATATAAACAGCTTCTAATATTTTTCGATTCGTTAATTATTTTTAATCATATTTTTACAATCATATATATTGATGTTTCGAACAATGGATTTTTTTTTCTTTTTTTCATAAAATATACATTATTTTTATCTTTATCTTATTTATCTTTATTCTCAAAATTAGTAATTAACATTTTTTATTTGGTTTTTCTTCATGTAATTTTTGGTAATTAAAATATACTATTCAAATATATTAACAATCATTCAATTTTTCTAGACACTTTTCTAGATAACTACTTATAAAGTATACTTCTTTAGATGATTTTTCTAAATAGTTAAAAAAGAAAAATTTTTATAAATTTTATAAATTAAAATCGAAATATTTCTATATTTTTAAAATAATTAAATTTTTAAAGTATGATTTATAATTTATTTTGATTACATTAGATAAATATATTTAATCATTATACTCAAAATATTATAAGATCGTAATTCTACAGGATCATTCTTGAGTTAAAAAAAGTTTTAAAAAAATATTGGAAATCATATTTTTAAATCCTAACAATATAATATTTAATAAAAAACAATAAAATACTTTTAAATATTTTGAAGAATCATATCTCATAAAAATAATATTTAAATATTGAGAGATAGAAATAATTTCGCTCTCTCTCTTTTATATCTATCTCTATTATATCTATCTTTTTATCTCTATATCCACTTCTCAATTTAAATATTGGATTTAGTGATTCGATTAGTAGTCTGATCCGATATTATAAGAGCTTAACACAGAGAAAAGAAGAGATTAAGAGTTAAAATATATTTGAAGAATATTATTGAAAGATTTTTAGATATTGTCTTTCGATAACTAATTGTTAAAATGAAAAATGTTAATAGTATTCGTGATATAATTATAGTGAAATCAATATATATACCGAAATATTATTCAATTTATATTACAGAAGAAATGATAATAATGTAAACATAATAGAATATATATAGACTCATATGTAATAGAAATAATAATAATTAAATAATAATTTTTTGAAATCTGTTGAATCGTTTAGAAAAATTATAATCTATTATTCAATTTATCAATTAATTGTCTAATTAGGTAAATTGATTATTAATTATAATATATAATATATGATTATTAATTATAATTATAATATATAATTCTATTGATATAAGATATAATATTATATCTAATTTAATATAACAATGTATTGATAATTTATTGATAATTTAATTAAAGTTTTTATATGAATTGATTTATTACTTTCCGAAATATCATTGAATCAGTTGAGTTGAAATATTTGACTTCTACTGCAAAGGCAGCAAAAAGCTCATGAAAGACGAGAAAATTAGAAAGTAAACTTCTTCAGTATGAGTAGGACTTTAATTAGCTAAAGTTTTTTAAGAGCTTCATTCAGTCAAAATATTCTCTTCTTCTTGCTGTTTTTATCCAATTTAGGCTTTCTCTGTAATTAATCAAGTACAGGAATACTTTGTTTAGTCACGGTCGCAACCAAACTTTATATCAATCTAGTTTCTCATTTTCTCATAAAGAATTCTCAAAATTTTCTTAAAAATAAATATCCGTTAAAATAATGTATTCTTAATCAAAAAAGATTTTGATTAATTTTTAATAATTTTTATCATTTTATTTTTAAATTTGTAATAAAAACTTTTTAAATTTGAAATATTAATCGATTCATTTTTTTTTTTTTATTAAATTAAGAATTTATATATAATTATATAAGAATTATATAGAATTTTTCATAAATAGAATTTATATAAATATATATAACACAAATTTTATTAATATTAATTATTAATTTGAATTCTAACTAATGTTCTATTATTTGAATTATTATTAAGTACTATATAATTTTATAATGTAGAAATTAAAAATTAAATAAATATTATAAGACAAAAAATACATCAAGGATTATAGTTAAAAGAAAAATCCATTTTTGACTATTTTCCAATTACTATTTAATAATATTTAATATCTATAAAAAATATAGCATCATCTATAAATTTTAATATAAAAAATTATACAATGAAAAGTAAGAAATCAATAATGTTCTACTATATATTATCATATGTTTTTTGTAATAGAAGATAATGTTATATTTCTATATCTGCGGAAAAAATCAATATATTCTTCACAAAACAACAATAGATAATCATCTATGTATCATGAATAATCATTATTAACATAAAGTAACTTTTTTTTCTCTTTTTTTACATTTTAATGTATCTAGTATATGTAATCAATCACTATAATAATAATTTTTACAATTTATCAAATGTTTAATTTTTCACAACTTTCATTTACAATTAAATAAAAATCGAATAACAATTTACAATTTTTTTTCTTAATCTAAAAATATAATATCCAAAGAGGAATGTCTTCTGTCGTTTGTTTCAGAGATCTCGGGCCCAGCAAAAACGCAAACAGCAGCACGACCACCCTACGACGAGGAGGATGAGACCGTATATGGTTCAGCAGAAATGGAGAAAATGGAGAACAAACCTCTATCTGTTGACAGTACGATAAATGGACACCATGTTGGATATCCATCGGTCGCCACACCAGTGCCAACTGTAAGAATGGGTAAGAAGAGGCCAGCAATCGCGAATTCCAAAGCAGAACATCATCTAGTTTCTAATATTCTCATTGTTTTTGCGCTGATTGTTCATCAAAGATGTCAATGAATGGACGGATAAAGATTTGGTTAATCTGTTATATATTATATATATACTGAAAATCTTCTAATAGTGTAAGAAAAAAAATCGACGTATGGTGCGCTTTGTTCAATTAATCTGGCGCAGATGAAGCGATTTCCCTGATTGAATTATTTTTACATCGTGATTTTATCTGTAGAAAATGTTTTTGAAAAAAATGTTGAATTAAAGATTCATATGTTGGACGTGATGTAGAAAAAAGATTTCTAAATTGAAAGGTTAAATGAATTTTTAAAGAATGAAGCAATTTATTATTTGTTTTATTAAAAATTGAAAATTTTATAGTACAAGTGTTAAATATAAATAATAATTTTAAAAGTAATATGAAACATTAATATTTAAGATAAAATGATATTTCAAATTATTTTTGATTTTGTTATGAATAGATATAAAATAAAAATATTTCATAATAATTTTAAAATTTTAATTTTATAAAATTTATTTACGCGAACTTTATTATTTATTTTAAGAAATAAATTATCCTTAGAGTCTGATTTACATTTTATTTACATGATATCGCATATAATTGCATATATAGTCAAAAATTATTCATAATTTAGTTATATTTACATGTTTCTGTAACCAATAATCCACCTATGCTGATATATTTCCATAAAATGAAATTTTGATATATAATATTGGTAGAATATTGATAGAATATTGATTATCCAAACTAATTCTATTTGAATAAGCGATTTTACTAAGAGAAATGCATTACAAAAATAAACGAATCTTTATTAGATATGCGATTAGAAATATTATATTATATATAATACTATATTCTATATTTCTATATTTAATAATCGATTATTTGAGTAAACAAACTTCGATTAATAAATGTTTTTTTGTATTTTAAAAGTGAAGAAAAAATGATATATAATCATCATAAATAATGATTTCAAACTTCTATGAATTATCTTTTTTTTTCTTTTTTTAAAGAGTTAAACATTTCATAAGTTAAAAAAATTAATAAGTTAAAAAAGATTGTAAAAAAATTTTAGAACAGAAAAATATCCAAAAAATTAACTTTCAATTCTAGAAATTTGAAAACATACAAATTATAAATGTTAAATCATAGCCTAGATATTTTATTGCTTTCAATATTTTCAAATTTCTTGAAATACATTTCCTATATAAAGACAATTCATGACGAGATATTTCTTGTTATGAAACGATGTATTGGCTTTGGTTTTATGTGACTGTGTAGTTGACGAATGGTTTCATGGAATCCGTATTTTTACGTGACTAGCATAATGTGTTATATATCTATATAAATATAGAATAAATATTAATCTTTTGTTCTTTGAAAGTGTTGTAAATAACTTTAAGAAACACAATCAGATAATATATGTAATTTTATTCAACAAAATTCATTACTATAATATATATTTCTTTTTCTTATTTAACAACTTAAAATTATTTAATAGAACAAATTTGAAAATTTATGTTGCCTACGTGTTCTATATAAATGATACAATTCGTATCATTTATCATAAATAACGTTTAATAAAAAAATATAATAAAAGCAAAAAAAGATATGATTCTCATATAATATTTCACAAGCTGATGATAATGATTTGACAAGATACAAATTATAATTTATAAACTTCTTTTTTTATAATTTTTACAATTTTAATTTGAACTTTAACTGAAATAGAATAATGAGATAACTTTATCAAATTTATTTTATTTTATTATTAATTTTATTATTATTATATAAAATAATATTTTAATACAATAATTTATAATTTGTGATTTGTAAAATTTAAATTAATATTACATGTATTTGTTCAATTTTGAAAAATATTGAAAATTGAAAATCTCATAGAAATTATGATGTAAGAATGAATCAAAAGGGGAAATAAACAAAGGTGCAAAAAAAAAAGTAGAAGAAACAAGTAAAAGATACAATCCTGGCATACATACGCATATACATTCACACTCTTTATACACATAAGACATATACAGTCAGCCACAGAAGTCTTCATATATAATCTTAGAAGAAAAGAATTAATCCAAAAAATTCTGGTTTTAATAAAAATTTGTACGTATGTGTTATAACAAAAGCATAATATGTTATAACAAATTCACAATAGCAAATTCTTTTTCCAGTAAAAAATTTCTATGACAAGATAAAACCGATCCTTATATTTTTATCATTTTTTCATGTTCTAAATAACATTTTTTATAAGAATAACAGAGTATTAAAACCTGAATATTTTACATATTTGAAATTTTGTTTCGTTTCATATTATCACAAATCATGATATTTAAAAAAAAAACATTGAAATTTTAAGGATTGATTTTATTCTCTTTGTAAATAATATCAAACAGAAAAATTATTTCTATACAACTAATTGTGCTCTTTTGTTAAAAACAGAATTTTTGATAATACAATTAATTATGGTTAAGCTGATATAAAATAATACGAAGATTTCTGTGATTCACTGTCATACGCATGCTCACGAATCAAGCCAGGTGTACTTCTCAGTTTCAGCGGCAATAAATCGCGTGATGTATATGTACATATACATATGTTTGTACACATATCTATGTATCATACACACGCAAGCTTGCACGTGTACATGTGTGTGCATACTGCGACGTCAGGGTAACTAAGATATCTATATAAGGAGATCTCATAAGCAAGCGTAATAGAATATATCGCGTTTTTAATGACTGTCGGCAGCTTTTTATGTGTCAAACGAGAAACACCTTGGCTAAGTCTTGGGTGTTTTAAAGGATTCCTTCGATCGGACCAAGTGATTTTAAAGCGAATCATATTATGACCTTGATCAAAAACGTGCGATCTGGAGATAATTCGTATTTTCCAACTATATTTGCCTTGATTTTCCTTTCTTATTATTATGAATAAAAATGACATAAATGTGTTATATTTTGAATAGCAAAATATGTTACAATATAGACATATATAAAGATATTTATTTATATCAATAATGAGTTTTTTTTAGTTAATTCATACAATTCTTTCGTTTTGAACTCTCAATTATATCGGAATATATTTTTAATTAAAGGTTTCTGGAAAATTTTAGATTACTTTTGTTAATATGAAGATATTAATTCAGTCACTAATAAATATTTTTTAGTAAATGAATACTTATCGTAAAAGTTTGCAGAAACATATATTTATCTTTGCATTTTTGACAAAGATATTCACTTTTTTCATCTAAATCTATGATTCTTCATAATTAATTGAGTTTCCTATAAATATATATATATGAATGTATATATGATTAAATAATCATCTTTATCTTTTTCATCTTTATTTAAAAAATAGCACTTTTTAAACTCTTTAAATATATTAATTTCAAATCAATTAAATAATGATTCGCTAATTTAATGATATCATAATTTTAATATTAGAAAATAATTGAAAGGGAATATACATGCAAGTTAAAATCTTTTAATATTACTTTAATATTTGATATTTGGAAAAAAAAATTTGAATTTTGTTAAAGAAATGAAACATTACAATATAAAAATATTTTTATATTGTAATGTTATATTTTACTGAATCGAATATTTATCATAAATTCAAATTATCAATGAATTTTTCATAAATTTAATCAAATATTTTTATTTTTTTATTTTTTTTTAATTATTATTGCAGAATTTATTTTATCTTCAAATTAATTTATCAAATATATTTTCAAACATATTAAGAAATTTAAATATTATAATAATTTTTTGTAACTTCAACATATCTAAAATATTAATATATCTAACATTAAAATTTTACGAATTTTTTTCTCATTTTATTCCATTTAAAATCTTTTCCTATTCTATTTAAAATAATAATTAATATATCGATATAATTATTATTTCAAATAATAATTAATAATTATAATTTATATTTCAAGGAACGACTATTCTTAATAAATAATCGTTTCCATATTCTCATCAATTTCCATGATCGCACGATCTTTCATCGAGGTATCCTAATCTATATTCGTTCATTCTTTGGATGGACATCGCATCACGTGAATGAGCATGTCCCGTTTTCTTCTAAATGATTTTGGTTGAATAGAAACGAGAATGAGAGAGAACACATTAACTCATGATATTTTTGTATTTTCGACTGTTGATAGCATATACTTGTGTTTTTCTCGTTAATCGTTTATTTATCGACGGAGGAAAGTTCGATTTAATCCCTTCGTGTCAGCAAAGAGGTAGGTGAGAACGTGGGGAGAAAGGGGATGAGAACTTGAACAGTTAATCGAGAATCGTGTGATTGGGGATTAAACTGTGACAAGTTTAACGTTCGATTACGACGTCGATGAACGCTCACGCCTGTGTGTATTTAACACTAAATAAATGAATGTCCTTCAGGTCCTTGTCGATCTTTCGAGCCTCGAGGACGGCTGAACTATCGATGGGTGCTATCAATAGGTTCTTTTTTTCGCCAAGAACTTGTGTAGATATACTTCTACTGTGGTTTCTATCGATAAAACGATTTACTTTTTTTCTTTTTTCTTTTCTTTTCTTTTTTTTTTTTTTGTTTTATCTCGTTTGAAATAGTTTTGGTCTTCATCTTTGGAAAATTGTTGAGGGTTAAAAGACTTAAGGAAACTTCCTCAACTCAAATCGTTCATGGCTATTATCGAAGCGTTGGTAGGGATTAAAGATAGATTAGAAACTATTTTGTAGGAATTATATTGAAAGATGCAAAGAATCGTACTCTGTTCTTCTTATTTAAAATGTCCTATCTAATAAACTTTAAATGTTTAAAAATTTAAATTTTTATTTTTTATTTTTTATTTTTTATTTTTTATTTTTTTGACATTATCACAAAAAATATATAAAAATTGGTGGAAGCTTAGATATTTTTTTTCCTTTTTTTGATAAAAATTATATTAAAATTAGTAAAAATCTAGATCATAAAAAATCATATAATACAATTTTTTAACTTTATTTAAAAATTAAACTCAAGAATGAAAATATTTTAAAAATATAAAAGTAGTAGATAGAATATTTTAATTAAGAACAATGCTGTGCTTCCAATTTAATTATATATATATATATATTGGAAGATTGAAATGCTATAATCTTTTCTTTTTTCTTTCATTTTTGTTAAAGTAATTTAAATTTTTATAGAGAAATTATTTTTATAATAGAAAATATATTCTGTTATTCTGAGATAAATTAGAAATAACCG